AGATAGATAGATAGATAGATAGATGATAGATAGATAGATAGATAGATAGATAGATAGATAGATAGATAGATAGATAGATATGTTTCTCCTTGTAAAAGCTTTGGTTATTTTGTCCTCTAATACCTATTTTATCTTCATATCGGTTTTCTATTTTATCTTCATATCTATCTATCTGTCTGTCTATCTGTCTGTCTATCATCTATCTATAATCTGCCATCTATCATCTATCTATCATTTGTCATCAAGTCCAGAATTCACAGTCTTCCGGTTTCTAGTCTGATACCTTAACCATTACACGAAGCTGGCTCTCCTATTTTTTCTATAATCCCCTTACAATTCTATAGACTGTTTTCAGATTTTTTTTCCCCACTAGTGTTCTGTTGTATGCTTTGTTCAAACTTTTCCTAAGTTTTTCTGCTTCTTCTCTTTTGGGCTGCTGCTTGCCTTTCCATCATTCTAGCTTTGTCCAGACTTTTCACTGTCCAGAAGGGCTGGGAAACAGACCAGAACATTCCTCTTTCTTGTTTCCAACCTTCAAGCCTCCAACAATAACAGAGCCAAAACAGAGTCAAAGGGAAGGTGCCAGGAACGGAGAATTAGCTTAGCCAAAAGAACAAGATGTCAGAATTGAAGGAGAGCGAATCCCTTGCTTGCTTTTGTGCACTAAATAGGTGGGCATCCCGCTATTTTTTACCACTGAAGATTTATTGGCTTATTGAGAGTGATTGGCCCAAGTGTTACCCAACTGGATTGGTGAACTAGAATTCACTTTCTCCCAGGTTCTAGCCTGATGCCTAAGCACTACAACACCAAATAGAATATATCACAAATCCCCAATGGGGTGATTAAAGTTGAAAATAAGCAATGTAGAAGCACAAAAGAAGAAGACAAAAAAATGCCACTAATCTCAACTATTGCTCCATGATGCCCCATGTCCACAGAATAATTAACCTTCTATTCTATCTCCATATGTTCTCTTAAAGATCTAGTTTTCACCCCCTTCCAAAATACCAATGGTTCTAGCTTTCTTAGGCCTTCAGATCTAGAAAGCTAACTTGGACAGAGGCAGGACTCAAGGGGGAATCAAATGCCTAATTTCTTACCATTTGCAGCCATGTTTATTAATGCCATTAATAAATAGTCACATTAATGCCCGGTGAATGCCATGCAACATCTCCGCTAGCAAGGCGTTTAAGCTTGGATCAATGCAAAAGCTGTTAAGTATCCTCAATAAATAAAAAAAAGGTAGATCGAGTTGTATAAATTGCTCTTTTTCAGCCCCAAATGATTATCTTTCAACTACACTCGCTGCACTAGCTTAACCAGGTCAGATAAAACCTTGGGGTCTTCTTCTCCGTGGAAAGCTCGGTATGTGTTTATCATGATTAGGCTAGATAGATGGTGGAGAGGAACAGACACACGTCCACACGTGCAAACATCCATGCACAAAACATACACATTTACTAAGAGAAAGAGGCTTAATGTGTGAATCCGTTCTATCTGGTGAACTTAGGATGTGTTTTGCACATCTGTAGTGCCAACCCAAAAAAAGGATTAATTCAGTTACCAGGTAAAATAAGTTACGTGAATGATGCGTTCATCATTGTAATAGTTTTGGATGCTGCAAAAATGTGAAACTATCATGAAAGGTTGCCTGGCTGTAAGAGAGGCCAAGAAACCATAGAATGGTTTAAATAAGTTCTGGCTTGGTCACTTAGCAAGGAACCCAACAACTGCTTCTTCAACTACAGAACAGAATAACAGAGTTGGAAGGGGCTTCCAACAGGGACATCTGTTGGAGGTCTCTCTTATTCTGTTCTGTTATTCTGCTCTGTCCATTCTGTTCTGTTCTGCTTTGTCCATTTTAGAATACAGCACATAGAATAGGAAGGGACCTTGGAGGTCTTCCAGTCCTACCCCCTGCAAATGGCAGGAGATCCTATGCTATTTTGTTCGACATCATCTTCTCAACACCTTGACCTGTGGACTCTTTAACTGGACATTGTTTGAGATGGAATGTGGGATACACCAGCCTAGACTGACTCGCGACTCTGCCGTTCAAGTTGAAGAGATGCCCCCATTCACCAGTTCCGTTTTGTACCCTTAGACTCCTGAAGTCAGAGGTGAGACTGTCTCCATTACAGATGGCCGGTCTCCTGACAAGAAGAGGTTTTAAGGCCAGGGTGGGTTCAAAGGCCAGTCAAGATCTGCTGTCAGGTCTCTGGCAACTTAGATCAGCAGGAATCTTGGATCCCAACAGAGAATAGCAAAATCCAACAACTCTCCTCTCCACGCACAGCTGAAGGGAGTGAGCTTGGAATAACCAGAAGAGGTTTGGTTGTGGAAAAAAATTAGGAGTAAAATACATTTTGGAGCATCTGAAGAGATTCCTGACTTCCGTATAGTCTTACAGACATTCTGTTCAGAAGCAGTTCACTGTTGCTTATCATGTACTCTACTTGATTGATCTCAGGACTGTAGCAATCACAAAACAGACTCTAATGAAGCTTGGCATTGCCTCTCTCTGGTTTAAGGTGTCCTGTTTGGGCAATTGTAGCTCCCATTCCTTCCTTTAGTCCTCAGTCAGGATTGCATGCAGGAAGCACACACCCCCAGCCCACTAGTCCCCAAGGAAATGATTTTGTAAAAGTTAGCTTTTGGGAAACAACAAGCAGTGGAGATAGGCAAATAACACCTTACAACGATGGAGGGGGAAAAAATGGAAGAATGTTCAGTTTGGTCTTCCTGGAGAATTTAGATTTCAAGGAAAGATTTGATCGCAGAGAGGACAAGCTCCCTTCTGGAAGGGAGAATTAAGCAGAAGAGACGACGACAACAACAAAGAAGCAAATGATCAAAACTGGGGCCTGGTTTAACTGCACCGAATCTCAGATTCTGCAGGATGTGTGTAAACACATCGGTTCCCATTCTTTCTTCTTTCCGCAATAACACGATATGGTGACCTCGGTGTTTTTACATTACACCTGTATTGATATAATATAGAGACTACAGAAACACAGAGATCTGAATAAGAGGAAGGAAGGATCTTTTTCCAATCTTTTCAAAAAGCAGTAGATTGGAAAGGCATCCTTGAACTTCTTGGCCTGGAATTAGTGGATTAGATGCCTCACCTTGGACAAGAGCAAGCCCTCTCTCATTCTCTCCTCCCCCCCCCTTAGCAAACCTTAGAGAAGATCACAGGAGCTTTGGGTTCCTACCAATGCCTGTACTCGGCTTTCTTCTTGGTAGTAAAAAAATGATCGCCCATCAGCCAGTTTATAAATAGCAAATAATTGCTAGTGAAAGGAATGGGTGATGCATTCTGAGAACTATTTTGGGTGCCTGAATGCAGGGGGGAAGCTGTTAATCACAAAGCAAACTGCAAGATCCCAAGCTGGAAAGGTACTCCAGGTGTTTAGTCCATCCTGAATGTTGGGGGACGGAGGAAGGAGAAAGAGAGAGAGAGAGAGAGACAATGGGAAGGGAGATAGACCCCAGATGGAGAACCTTGACTGGCCATCACTCACTTCATCTGCACCCAATAAAAAAAAGCATTTTCTGGTGAGGCCATCCTTCCTCTTGAGAACTTCTTCCGTAAGTAGATATCCATCTGATGTGGCACGGGAAAGCCACCTGGTTGTTGACCACAGTTCTCACCTCCATTACCCAACCCAAGAGCCAAGGAGGACATGCACCACAAAGCACCCTTGCTTTCTTACTTCTCCAATGAAGCTATTTGCTCTGTTTCCCTCTCCCCCTCCCCTCCTCCTTTTTTTGGTTGCTTTTAATTGTTTTTATTTGATCTACAAAATGTCTCTCCCCATCTGCTTTGCTTTCATGTGTTGGGGATTAGCATAATGAATCAGACAGACCCTATAACTTGACAAATGAATTGCAACTTTGAGTCCCTCCTGTTGCCATCAGGGTGGGTAGCAGGGAAATTTGATGGGGAGATGCTGGATGGAATTTCAAGAAGAGGCAACAGGCCAAAAACAGATTCCACCAACCTGGACCTCACCCCCTGAGGCGGTTGGAGTTACAAACAGCTTGAACCCAGCAGCATTGTTGGGCAAAGAGAAGCGGGTGTAGGTTTGAACTAAGCCTGCCATTGCTCAGTGGGTATAGCTCTGAAATAAATGGGTGCACCACAAACACATCCACACACTGCTTTTCACCCAGTGCCTGTTCTCATCAGACAGCAGAATGTGCATGTGATGTTATCATGCTATTGAGCATCCCTATCTTTACTGTAGGGACCAAGCTGTTGCAAGTTTACACCTCCAGGGTGGGTTTTTGTGAATTGGACCACCTGGAATTGTATGGTTATCTAATGGATTCCATGTTAGGGTATATCTCTGCTTTTGCTGAGCTCTGGATTGGAAGGAGAGTGATTGGGAATTACGGGAAAGGCCCCCACTTTTTTGAGCCCAAGTAGCAAGATGATAAAAGGGGTGTGTGCATGCAGACACGTGTGAGTGTATGTGTGTGTTGGTGGATGGGCATACTGCTGGGCGTTGATTTGTCCCCCCCCCCCGCAGAGGATTTGGCCCTACACATCCATTAGAGTTCCAACAGATGCAATGGGGAAAAATCTTTCTATGGTTCTGCCTACCTTAACCCAACATCCTGAATGGTTTCCGTTGTTGCTGTTCTCCAACATCTGCAAGTGCATGTGACTTCTTTCCTGTCCACCTCACTCTTGAAGGGCTCTTGGGCCACAATTGCACAAGACCGTGTGTGTTGACTGCCCCTGCAAAACCTCCCCCTCGCTTTTCCAAGCTTTATAAGATTGAAGGAGAGGACATGCACTTATTCCCACAGACACACTCCAAGAAGAGAAGATGTTCACCCCATCGTGGCTGGGAGGAGTTCCCCCCCCCAGGCCAAAACAGCAGAACAGGCCTGCGGCAGGTGGCATATGGCATCGGGGGTGGGAGGTGGAGTGGGTTGGGAAGGGGAGGATCCCCCAAAGGAAGGAGGAGGGACGGGGCTCAGCTTACCTGGACATGTGTTCCCGCTGGGGCCGGTGTGCTTTCTCCAGCCCCAGTTTGGTGAAGATGCCCACCAAAACCATCACGGCAACCACCCCACAGATGATGTAGACGATGAGGTTGGTCTTGTCACGGGTGGGGTCGTGGGACGGGTCCATGGGGCGGTTGGTCATCTTGCGCCCGTTAAGCCAGGGGGGCTTGATGTAGTTGGTGCAAACGTCCTGGTCCAGCCGCCTCTTCTGATCCTGGCAGCAGAAGCGGAAGCCACACGTGCCACAGCAAAACGGGTAGCCGCGGACGCTGCAGTTGAAAGCCTCGTCCCACTGGCCCATCACATCAAAGTAGCCCCGGCATGCCTCCGGGCTGGGGGGCGGCTCCGAGGCGTCGGCGGGTGGAGGCTCACCCGCTCGGCTGTGGTTCCCGCCGGAATCGAACAGCATCACGATGCTGCCCAGGTGCTGGCCGACTTTCTCCTGCGCCTGACACAGGAGAGGGGGGAGGAGGTCCGCCGCCAGGTAGCCCAAAACCAAACGGAGGAAGCCCTTCATCCTTCGCAGCAGCGCAACACCAGGACACCTGAGGTTGCCTTTCCTGCCGCCGCCGCCGCCGC